CTCTCACATGTTCCCCTCCTATCACTGCTATGGATTCAGTGGCACTGACTCCTGCCTGTCCCTGCTCCAGATTCCACTCCCAGCACCTCTCCCGCCTTTACATACAGCAGCCATAGGGATTCCCATTCACAGTTTCCCGCTGCTCTTAAAATAAAGTTCTCACCCCTTACTAGGGCCTTGCCTAACCTGGGGCACTAGCCTCATCTCAGCAGCCCTCACCTGTGGTCTAGTTAACCTGTTAACTCATCAAGGCTTCATTCACCCCAAGGCGTTTGCATGTGTGGCTCCCTCTGTCGGAACTCTGTCTTGGCTGCTGTTCTCAAGGCTGTGCCCCTTCTAGTCATTCAGGTCCCAGCTCAAAAATCTCTTCTTAAGAGGTTTTTCTGACCAAGACTTTGAGAAATGAGGGGACTTTCCTTCAGCATCGTACTTGTTGTTTCCTTCACAGTGCTTGACAAAAGTAACAACTGCATCAAGACACTGTCTCTAGACTGCAAGCTTCCTGAGGGCAGGTGCTATAGTATCCTCTCCAAAATTCATGTTGAAACTTAATCTCCATTGTAGTGGTACGAAAACACTGGTGTAGAAGATATCCACACCCAAAAACAAACAAATAAGAGGTGTGCCCTTCTGGGAAGTTATGAGGGCTCTGCCCTCATCAATGAATCAGTGTCTTATAAGAGGGCTGGAGGAAATTAGCATAGGCCATTTTTTTTTTTTTGTTTTTGCTCTTCTGTTCTTCTATCATGTAAAGGCACAGTGTTTATCCCCTTTCTGTCCCTCCCACCACGTGAGGACATCTAGGTGGCACCACCTACAAGGAATGGGCCTTTACTAGACACAGAACCTGCCAGTGCCTTAATCTTGGACCTCAGAATCTGCAGAACTGTGAAGAATTATTTCTAGAGCTGGACACAATGGCACACACCTGCAATCCCAACTACTCATAGGCTAAAGCAAGAGGAGCCCTGGAGTTTGAGACCAGTTTGAGCAAAACAGTGAGACCACCATCTCCAAAAAAGAAAAAAAGAAATTAAATTTCTATTGTTTATAAATTTCCCAGTCCAGGGTATTTTGTTATAGAAGCACAAATGAACTAAGACAGCAGGAAACCTGCTAATCTTGTTCACTGTTATTCTCAGTCACTGGTGTTGGATGTTTAATAGTAACTCAATAAACATTTGCTGGAAGAAAACTTTTTTAGGCAGGGCATAGGGGCTCACGCCTGTAATCTCAGCACTTTGGGAGGCCAAGGCAGGCAGATGACTTGATGTCAGGAGTTTGAGACTAGCCTGACCAACATGGTGAAACCCTATTTCTACTAAAAATACGAAAATTAGCTGGGTGTGGTGGCCAGCGCCTGTTATCCCAGCTACTTGAGAGGCTGAAGCAGGAGAATGGCTAGAACTCGGGAGGCAGAGGTTGCAGTGAGCTGAGATGGTGCCACTGCACTCCAGCCTGGGAGACAGAGCAAGACTCCGTTTCAAAAAAAAAAGAAATGACCTTTTTTTTTTTTCTTTTAAAACAGGGTCTCACTCTGTTGCCCAGGCTGGAGTGCAGTAGTGTGGCCAGAGCTCACTGCAGCCCTGAACTCCCAGGCTCAAGGGATCCTCTTACCTCAGCCTCCCAAGCAGCTGGAATTATGGGCACACACACTACCACACTCAGCTAATTAAAAAAAAATTTTTTTATAGAGATGGGGTCCCATTATGCTGTCCCCCAGGTTGGTCTCAAACTCCCGGGCTCAAGCAGTCTTTCCCTTGGCCTCCCAAAGTGCTGGGATTACAGGGGTGAGCTACCGTGCCAGGCCAGAAGAAATAAACTTACGAAACACTCACTGTGTGCTAGGCTCTGGGGACACAAAGGTGACTAAAGACCCAACCAAGCCCTGGCCCCTGGGGACGCATATTCTGAAATAATTGCCCTCAAAGAGTTGAGCAAAGAGAGAGCTCTACACAGGATGTTGCACTGTCACGGTGAGCGCCTGCCTGTTCAAGAACCCCTCACAGCAGCCACACGCTGCCTTTTTGTTTTTCTCTACTCGTACTGTTTCTTCCCCTGCTTTTGCTCTTGAACAGCCCTTAATCTAGGGGTGTCCAATCTTTAGGCTTCCCTGGGCCACACTGGAAGAACTGTCTTGGGCCACACATAAACTACACTAACACTAATGATAGCTGATGAGCTTAAAAAAAATTGCAGCCGGGCGCGGTGGCTCAAGTCTGTAATCTCAGCACTTTGGGACGCCGAGGCGAGTGGATCACGAGGTCAAGAGATCGAGACCGTTCTGGTCAACATGGTGAAACCCCATCTCTACTAAAAATACAAAAAACTAGCTGGCCATGGTGGCGCATGCCTGTAATCCCAGCTACTCAGGAGGCTGAGGCAGGAGAATTGCCTGAACCCAGGAGGCGGAGGTTGCAGTGAGCCGAGATCGCGCCATTGCACTCCAGCCGGTGTAACAAGAGCAAAACTCTGTCCAAAAAAAAAAAAAAAAAAAAAATTGCAGAAAAAAATAAATAAATAATAAAGTTTACAAATTTGTGGCCTGGTGCAGTGGCTCACACCTGTAATCCCAGCAATTTGGGAGGCCAAGACGGGCAGATCACAAGGTCAGGAGATCAAGATCATCCTGGCTAACACAGTGAAAACCCATCTCTACTAAAAATACAAAAAATTAGCCAGGTTTGGTGGCATGTGCCTGTAGTTTCAGTTACTCGGGAGGCTGAGACAGGAGACTCACTTGAACCTGGGAGGCAGAGGCTGCAGTGAGCCAAGATTGCACCACTGCACTCCAGACTGCGTGACAGAGTGAGACTCCATTCTCAAAAAAAAGAAAAGAAAAGAAAAAGTTAGTTTACGAATTTGTGTTGGGCCACATTCAAAGCTGTCCTGGGTCACAAGCTGCGGGCTAGACAAGCTTGCCTTACTCTGAAATGTTAATGTTGTCTCCATCCCTCTCACTCTCAGGACCCCTCAATACGGAGTGCTTAAAGAGGCTTTTGCTTTCCCCTGTTGAACAAAATGAGAATTCTTCAGCGGCAGACGGGGATGAGGTCGCATTTGCCACGTCCCAGCCATTCAGCCCAGGGCAGGCACTCGGGATATACTTGGGGAATGGAAGGCATTTTCCAAAAAGACCTCATACCTTGAGATGCCCAGGCCGACTTGTCACTTCAATCTCCACACCCCAGGCTTCCAGACTACAGCCCTCTGTGTGAGGGTCCCTCCTTACTCTGTGGCTTGGGCTGTGACACTGACTAGCTGGGCTATCTTCTGCGAAGCTGTGACTCTGCCCATGCCTTCCCATGTCCAGCTGTAAAATATGGCACAGGACAGCAGCTCTCTAGGGCCCTGAGAAACTCAGCTGCCCCTCCTCCTCTTGCCCCGCTCTAGAACTTCTTGATCCTGAGGCCCAGCAGCTCCCACATGGCCATCTCCAGTCTTGGCGAAGGCAGATCAGACCTAGAGATGCTCATGTTGGGGATGATAACGTTAGGCGAGGCCTTGGCATTTCTCCCCATAACAGCTTTAGCCCACAGCCAGATGTTGATGCCTGGAGCCAAGGGGCTGCTGGCCTGACTTCAGTTAGTGGTTGTCACTTAGGAAGACACGTAGTGCACTAGCCTTGAATACTTAACCCAACTCGGACTCAGTCTGCTTAGCTGCAAAAGTGCACATCATAGTGGGCACCTACTTCAGTGAGTCGTTATGAGGATTAACGAGGCACTGCCTGTAAACAACTGCGCACAGCGCCTGCCTGCCTCATAGAAAGCTCCTGCGAATGTGAGCCATTCCTCCTCTGAAGCTCAGGAAAGGCAAGTACCTTGTCTAAGATCACAGGGTTAGATAACTGCAGAAGGAGGGATGTAAATCCCCTACTCCACACAGCAAACACAAAAGAGAAACTCCCTGGGAGTGAAACCCGAAGGTCAGTGTCCCACATGCTGTTGACCTCTTCCACAGTTGGCACTTCACCTGATTTACTAGCTAGCACTCCGTTTCTCATCAGCCCTGCCCTTAAGCAGGACAGGAATCACGTCTTCCCCCTCCCCTACTTGTTGGGCAAGCAAACTAACCGCCAAGGCATTGAATACCAGCCCGGGTCTCCGCCCCAAAAGGGTTCAGGCTACCGCGTGGCAAAGGGAACCAGACGGCGAAGAACAGGAGCAAGACAAAACGCCGAGTCTGGGAGGCCAGGACACCCGCCCTTCCACGGCTCGGCGCTCTCGGCCAGTTCCCCGCTCTTCTCAGCCTCAGTCTTTCACGGTTCCCCAAGGCACGGGAGCTCCCAAGGGGGCTCCAGCAGGACTTTTCGCTTCTGGGGAAGGTGGCGCCCCTGCTACCCGGACCCTCCCACCATGCTGACAAGGGTCGCACTCCTGCGAGTGTCAGAAAACCCCCACTGACTGGAGCGAGGAGGGTGTGGGGGCGAGGCGGCAGTCGGCCCAAGGTCGCGCGGCTGGACCCTGCCCCGCGCTAGGGCGGGGTCCCCCTCGTTCCTAGGGTGAGGACTGGGCCCACAGAGAGGCACTGACCGGGCTCGAGCGGCGGCCCCGCTGCCTCCGCCTCCGTCCTCATGACCCGGGCGGCGCGGGGCGCCCATGGCCCCGGCCCAGAGCGGGCTACAGCTTCCGCTTCGGCTAGGACGGGAGGACGGTCGGTGCGTATCGAGTTCCTCCGCCGCCACCGCCGCCGGCGCCGCTGCGGTGGGGAGAACTGGAGGCGGCGGCTGGGCCGCCCCGAGACCCGCCCCGGTCGTTCCAGGTCTCGAATCTGGAGGCCCCGCCCCTTCTAGAAGCCCCGCCCCAAACTTTGATTCTAGATGCCCCCAGCCTCCCAATTTAAGCCCGCCCTGGCCATTTGCCGCTTCTGCGTCGGGTGGCCCCGCCCCCTCGCCCAATCCTGCGTAGACGCGCTGCCCACCAAGACACGGGCCCCGGAAGCCCCGCCCCTTCCCTTGAGCCCCCGCCCCGAAGCTCGTGCACTTAGTGAACAGATGCTTCCCCGAGGCTCGTCCCTTCAGCAAGCTCCGCCTCTGCCGTGTCCCGCTCTTTTGCAGCCTTAGGTGTGAGCGCCGGTCCCGCCCAATGCATTGCCGAAGCGCCAAACAGCTGTCTTCCAGCTGCCTTTAGGGATGATCCTGAGCCGGCCGCTGCCCTACTCTATACCTAATTTTATCCGTACGAGATACCTCGCCTCGCTCAGGCTGCCCCTTACCTGGCAGTGCCGAGATCAAAAAATTAAATTGTGAGGGAGAAGTCCTGGCTCTTGGCCCAACCTCCTGCTGCCCCGGGTCTGAGGGCCCAGGCTCCGAGTCTCCGCCTTGCCGTCCAGCCTGTCCTTGGTGTGGGGTGCTTGGAAGTGCGAGTACCCTCTCCGGCTCCTTGCCTGCCCAAGGATCGTTGTTTCCGGCGGCCCCCGGGCCCAGTTATCAGCCGTCTCTTCCGGTGCCGGAACTATCGTAGCGGTGCCCTAGTTTCCCAGCCGGCGGGCGCAGTGAAGAGGAAGCGGAGACGAGACCGCGCTCACCAGTGGGGAAAGGAAGGAGGTGGGCCCTGCGCGCAGCATTTTGGGAGCGAGTGGAATTCTGGGACCTGGGCCCGCCATTCGCTGAACTCACGCCTTCGCCGTAGACGCATTTGCTGCCGCACGGAAGAGAAGAAGGAGGAGGCCGGAGCCGGTGAGGCTGGGAACGGGCAAGGGGAGGTCGAGGTGCCTGTGAGGGGCCAGGGGCTGGAGAAAGACTCGCTGCATGGAACTCTCCAGGGCTCGGGGAGGGAAGAAAGCGGGAAGCTTGGGCCACCCAGACATCAGCGAGCGTCGCCTCCCTAGCGCCTAGAAGTAAGCTCATTAGCTTCAACGTGTATGCTTTCACTTTTTGTATCTCTCCAGGTCAGTGTTTTTCAAAGCTTTCAGGCAGTAATCTTGAAGTCATTTCTGGTTGAGTCATCCTTTCTCCAAATCCTGTGGGTGCTTTTTTCTTTTTCTTTTTTCCGTTTTTTTTTTTTTGGAGTGGAGACGGGGTTCCACCATGTCGCCCTGACTGGTCTTGAACTCCTGGGCTCAAGGGATCTACCGGCCTCGGCCTTCCAATGTGCTGGGATTACAGGTGTGAGCCACCACGCCCGGCCGGTCATTCTTTTAAAAGTTACTTGCATCTCTGCCTTCAGCCCCCTTTCAGGTAGTGGTCTCCTCATGGTTTCCACACTGTTGCAGAAGTTTTAACAAGTTTCTCTGCTTCTAAACCTTACATTCTATCCATTTTGTAAATAAATACTGCTACTTTTTCATTGCGTCATTCTTTACCTATGATCGTGCAGTGGTTCTCCACTATCTTCAGCATAAAATCTAGACTCCTAAAGCTGAAAGCAAGGGATCCTCACCAAAGGAACCTGTCTCTTCAACCTCATGTTCTCTTTTAAGTACACTTCCGTTCCAACTTTGAGTCATTGCGTATCTCAATAAAAAGTTCACTGCTCGATTCTTTTTTTTTTTTTTTTTTTTTTTTTTAAGACAGGGTTTCACCATGTTGGTCAGGCTGGTCTTGAACTCCCGACCTCAGGTGATCCGCCCGCCTTGGCCTCCAAAGTGCTTGGATTACAGGCCTGAACCACCACGCCCAGCTGCTTGATTCTTTTAATTAGGTCAAATCAGGCGATTTCCCTGATTTTCCTCCATGACAAGCATTTCCTGAATATAGCACATTGTCACTTTGATATTTTCTCATCCTTGATGGTAAAGTAAGTGAAGGGTAAAAGGGCTGAATTAAAAGTGCAGCCTCCTCTCCTAGATGTGCATGGGTCCTTTGGTCTGTATCTGCACCTTCCATAGGGGGGCCGCTAGCTACATATGGCCGTTGAGCACTTGGAATATGGCCACTGGGATTGAGACTGAGTTTTTTATCTTAATTTTATTTTGTTTTAAGTAAGTTTAATTTAAATAGCTACATGTGGACATGAGCTGTATTGGACAGCTCGGGCCTATATTATTTTCAAAATGTAGTTATGTACAGTTATGGGTTGACAATAACAATGCAACAAATAACATTCCAGCCCCCTCTCCCTGACACGAACGGTATTGGCTAATGGTCAGTTAGATGAAGATTAAGGGACATAGGGTAGCAGGGACATGTGGTCGATGGGAGATGCTCTCCTTTCATTTCTATTTTTACCTCTGTCCACCCCACCATTCCTTCTCACCCCACATCTTGCACATATTTGCCAGATAGTTTCCTCCAAGCCAAAAGCTAAGTTGTTTTTGTTTTGTTATGTTTTTTTGTAGAAAATGTGGCTTTGGGCTGGGCACAGTGGCTCATGTCTGTAATCCCAGCGCTTGGGAGACCAAGATGGGTGGATCATGAGACCAGGAGATTGAGACCATCCTAGCTAACGTGGTGAAACCCCATCTCTACTAAAAATACAAAAAAAAAATTAGCCTGACTTGATGGGGAAGGAGAATCGCTTGAACCCAGGAGGCAGAGGTTGTGGTGAGCCTAGATTGTGCCACTGCACTCCAGCCTTGGCGACAGAGCGAGACTCTGGCTCAAAAAAAAAAAAAAAAAAAAAACCTCAGTTTTGGCATTTTTGCTAAGTTTTATGGAGGGCCAGGCCTTGAAGGAAGCATGGTGTGTGCCACATGCCTTCTCAGTCTCTGAAAGATGAACTGACTGTTGTCTCTCTCACTGTAGAACTCTTCCTGCCAAGATGTCTATTGGTGTGCCAATTAAAGTACTGCATGAGGCCGAGGGCCACATTGTGACATGCGAAACAAACACCGGCGAGGTATATCGTGGGAAGCTCATTGAAGCAGAGGACAACATGAACTGCCAGGTATCCTGCTTTGCACATGAGGCTATGTGGGAGGAATGGACCTGTGTCTCAGAGGAACAGAAAGATGTGGGGGTCTTTGAAAAAAAATTATTCTCATTCAGCAGTGATTTTCTTTCTTTCTTTCTTTCTTTTTTTTTGTTACTTTTTAAATTTTTCTTATTTTTATTTTTCTTATTTTTTTTTTATTTTTCAGCAGTGATTTTCTGAGCGCCTAATGCATGCCAGGCACTGTTATAGGCTCTGGGAATGTGGGCATGAACAAGGCACAGTCTTGAGGCAGGAAAGCCATTTGGAGGTTTGAAATATTTTACTTTGTCCTTTTTGTTTTTTCCATCCCCAGAGTTGGGGGCCTATTTGAGAGAAGTGCTACTTCAGTAGAATCCTTCAGATTCAGAGCCATTATCCATTTGCCTCCACTTGCCTTGTGGTTAGCAGAATCTTCTCACATACTGTATTTGTTTCCCTTTTCTCTTGGAGGGAGAATCTCATTTGATTATTGCAACTACCTTGTGAGGTAAGCGGGTTTGGTGATAGTCTTGACATCCATAAAATAGGGAGAATGTGATTAAAGGACTCATCACTCTGATGATAAATAATGGAGTAGTTTCCTGATATGGTGTCCTTCTTTTTTTTTTTTTTTTTTTTTTGAGACGGAGTTTCGCTCTTGTTACCCAGGCTGGAGTGCAATGGCGTGATCTCGGCTCACTGCAACCTCCGCCTCCTGGGTTCAGGCAATTCTCCTGCCTCAGCCTCCTAAGTAGCTGGGATTACAGGCATGCACCACAATGCCCAGCTATTTTTTTTGTATTTTTAGTAGAGACGGGGTTTCACCATGTTGACCAAGATGGTCTCGATCTCTTGACCTCGTGATCCACCCGCCTCGGCCTCCCAAAGGGCTGGGATTACAGGCTTGAGCCACCGCGCCCGGCCTGATATGGTGTCCTTCTCATGGCACAACTTGGCCTTTTGCATAGTCATCTGAATTTTTAGAGTATTGTTTTTCAATTATATCTTCACACTTTCTTTGTTTAAACTGTTGGTTAAAAACTTGGGCTTGGGTGTCAGAGATGTGAGTTTGAATCCTAATTATATGACCTTAGATGTATTAACCACTCAGTTTTCTCATCTGTAAAAGGGGGTGATACTATTTTGGGTTCTTTGATGTGGAGGCCAAGACAGAAGTATGCACGGTATTTATTGGGAGAAATGACAATAAAGGATAAAGGAGCAAGGAAACAGTACTAGGTAGGGAAATTTTCAGTCTGTGATGCTGGTCTGGCTGGTGAAAAGAGACGAGAAAGGAAGGAGGATTGAGCAGGAAGAGCCTTAGACTACAGCATAGTTTTGAGGAAGTCTCAGCAAAGCAGCGATTGCTCATTGGAAGAGTCTAGCATGGGGCAGAAATGAGGGGACTCGTACCCCTGGTGTGTTCAGTCTATTGGCTGCCAGGCTGGGGAGAGAGTAGCCTCAGTAGATGGTGACTGTTGGCTGCCTGCACTCCTCATATCCTGTTCTCTTTTGAAAGGAGATCTGATTAGCACATCCCTGAGATTGCCACAGGAGTAATATCTACACCTCCAGGACTTTTAGAAAGATCAGATGAGTTACACGTGTGCAATACTAGCTCAGTGTCTCATATATTGTGAGTATTTAACATATGGTACCTACTGCTTTTTTCCAGATGAGAAGGTCAGAGAGCTAAAGCATCTTACACCACACAGTCAGGCATCCTAACCATCCATTGCTTTGCAGGGGTCATTTTTTTGTGTGTGTGTTGGTTTTTTTTTTTTTTTTTTTTTTTTTTTTGTAGCTGTGAGCGTCTGTCATCTTCCTGCAAGGTTGATGAGCTTGGTCAGTTCCCTGGCATGCAGAGAAGTAGACCTCTGGTGACTCAGGTTTATCACATCACTGTTAAAAGATCAGTTTATTGACAGTAGATAGGTTTATCATCTATAAATAGATGGTTGGTAGATCCGTTCATCATCTCTCCTTAGATCCAGTCCGCTGGCTTAAGGCGTGCTCATCCTGAGGAGAGTGCAAGATTTGGGATAGTGAATCTTTTTTTTTTTTTTTTTTTTTTTTTGAGACGGAGTTTCGCTCTTGTTACCCAGGCTGGAGTGCAATGGTGCGATCTCGGCTCACCGCAACCTCCGCCTCCTGGGCTCGGGCAGTTCTCCTGCCTCAGCCTCCTGAGTAGCTGGGATTACAGGCACGCGCCACCACGCCCAGCTAGTTTTTTGTATTTTTAGTAGAGACGGGGTTTCACCATGTTGACCAGGATGGTCTCGATCTCTCGACCTCGTGATCCACCTGCCTCCGCCTCCCAAAGTGCTGGGATTACAGGCTTGAGCCACCGCGCCCGGCCGGGATAGTGAATCTTAATGAGTTTTTCAACAAGCTGTATGTATCTGGACAACTTGCTGGGTTTCCAGGGCCTTTGACATCCCATCCATAACGTGCAGGTGTCTAACCAGATGACCTTGGTGGTCATTCAGAGATGCACGCAGTCAACGTGACACAAAGTGCACAGACCTTGGTGTCAGACAGACCTGGAATCCGCTTGTAGCCTGCCACCTACTGTGACTTAGGGTGCGCTTTGGACCTCCTTCGTCCTCTAGTCCCTCCTCTAAATCAGGGATAAAAATAGCTCATTGGCGGCAGGAGGAACCATAGTGCAGAGGATGCATGTCACGTGCCTGACCACAGGTGGGGGACAGCCACCTGCCTCCTTATATTTGTGTGCTAGTGCTGCCCTAACAGAGTTCCACAGACTGGGCAGCTTAAACAACACAAATTAATTTCTTTTTTTTTTTTTTTTTTTTTTTTTTGAGACGGAGTTTCGCTCTTGTTACCCAGGCTGGAGTGCAATGGCGTGATCTTGGCTCACCGCAACCTCCGCCTCCTGGGTTCAGGCAATTCTCCTGCCTCAGCCTCCTGAGTAGCTGGGATTACAGGCATGTGCCACCATGCCCAGCTAATTTTTTTGTATTTTTAGTAGAGACGGGGTTTCACCATGTTGACCAGGATGGTCTTGATCTCTCGACCTCGTGATCCACCCGCCTCGGCCTCCCAAAGTGCTGGGGTTACAGGCTTGAGCCACCGCGCCCGGCCAACACAAATTTATTTCATCATCGTTCTGAAGGTTGGAAGTCTGAGATCAAGGTGTTGGCAAGACTGGTTTCTTCTGAGGAATATGAAGGAAGGATCTGGTCCAGGCCTTGCTTATAGATGATGGCTCTCTTCTCCCTGTGTCTTCACTTGGTCTTCCTTCTACAGTGTTTGTGTCCACATCTCTTCTTATAAGGATACCAGGCATATTGGATTAGGGCTCATTCTAATGACTTCATCTTAACACAATTATGTCTGTAAAGTTTTGAGTGTTTTTGTTTTTTGTTTTTTGTTGTGTTTTTTTGTTTGTTTGTTTGTTTTGAGATGGAGTTTTGCTCTTGCGGTCTAGCTGGATTTCGATGGAGCGATCTAGCTCACTGCAACCTCTGCCTCCTGGGTTCAAGCAATTCTGCCTCAGCCTCCCGAGTAACTGAGACTACAGGCGCCCACCACCACCACACCCAGCTAATTTTTGTATTTTTAGTAGAAATGGGGTTTTGCCATGTTGCCCAGGCTGGTCTCGAACTCCTGAGCTCAGGCATCTGCCCGCCTCAGCCTCCCAAAGTGCCAGGATTATAGGCATGAGCCACTGCACCCAGCCTTTTTTATTTATTTATTATTATTTTGTTTTTTGAGACTAAGTCTTGCTCTGTTGATCAGGCTTGGGTGCAGTGGTTTGATCATAGCTCATGGCAGCCTTGGACTTACGAGCTCAAGAGTTCCTTTCACCTCAGCCTTCTGAGTAGCCGGGACTACCAGTGTGCACCACCATACCTGGCTAATTTTTAAATTTTTTTGTAGAGGTGGAGTCTTGATGTCTTTTTCAGACCAGTATCAAACTTGTGGCTACAAGTGATCCTCCTGCTTTGGTGTCTCAAACTGCTGGAATTACAGGCATGAGCCACTACACCTGGCCTGTAAAGATTTTTTTGTCTCTAAATATGATCACATTCTGAGGTACTGGGTATTAGGACTTCAACGTGAGAAACGCAGTTTAATCCATTGTAGAGGCTTCACTGGGTCTACCAAAACCTAGGCACATTGAATAAGAGCCAGCAGATTGTGGTGTAGTTAAAGCGAGCAGTGGGTGAACACTGAGCACAGTTTAGTTTGTTCAGTGCATCTCAGGCTGCGAGGCTTATGGCTCCTGTGGTACACCATATGCTGTCTGTCCTTCCCAGACCCAATCATTCTGCCTTTTGGGAATGAGAACATCCTCTTAGCACTTTTTCTTGCTTGTTCAGTAACGTTTTCTGTTACAAAAGTGGGGTGGGAACAGGTGTGGTGGCTACCCCTATAGTTTCAACACTTTGAGAGGCTGAGGCAGGAGGATCACTTGAGCCCAGGAGTTCAAGACCAATCTGGGCAACATGGCAAGACCTTGTCTCAAAAAAAACATAAATTAGTTCGGTGTGGTGGCACATGCCTATAGTCCTAGCCATTCAGGTGGAGGGGAAGGCAGGAGGATTACTTGAGCCCAGGAGGTCAAGGCTGCAGTGAGCTATGATGGCGCCACTGCACTCCAGCCGGGTCTCACATGCACACACACAAAAGCACAGCACAAAGATTTGGAAAAGATGAGAGAGTCCCACCGAAACAACTTTTGGCTATTGGTATGGACTGTTTTCCCTGCATGTTTTTAGGGTTTTACCTTTTTTTTTTCTTCTTCTTCTTTTTTACTTGGGAGCATAGATTCAAGTTACCCTGAATATGCACTCCCTGTTTTGGAGTTTTATTATTTCTCTTTATTTATTATTATTGATTTATTTATTTATTTAGAGACGGAGTTTCACTCTTGTTACCCAGGCTGGAGTGCAATGGCACGATCTCGGCTCACCGCAACCTCCGCCTCCTGGGTTCAGGCAATTCTTCTGCCTCAGCCTCCTGAGTAG